CCTGCAGTGGGAGAGACGGGGGGTGGCGCTGGAATGGTAGCGCCCTGCAGTGGAGAGACGGGGGGTGGCGCTGGAATGGTAGCGCCCTGCAGTGGAGAGACGGGGGTGTGGTGCTGGAATGGTAGCGCCCTGCAGTGGGAGAGACGGGGGGGTGGCGCTGGAATGGTAGCGCCCTGCAGTGGGAGAGATGGGGGGTGGCGCTGGAATGGTAGCGCCCTGCAGTGGAGAGACGGGGGTGTGGCGCTGGAATGGTAGCGCCCTGCAGTGGGAGAGACGGGGGGGTGGCGCTGGAATGGTAGCGCCCTGCAGTGGGAGAGATGGGGGTGTGGTGCTGGAATGGTAGCGCCCTGCAGTGGAGAGACGGGGGTGTGGCGCTGGAGTGGTAGCGCCCTCTAGTGGGAGAGACGGGGGTGTGGCGCTGGAGTGGTAGCGCCCTCTAGTGGAGAGACGGGGGTGGCGCTGGAATGGTAGCGCCCTGCAGTGGGAGAGACGGGGGAGGCGCTGGAATGGTAGAGCCCTCTAGTGGGAGAGATGGAGGTGTGGGGTTGGAGTGGTAGCGCCATTGTTTTTTGTGTGCAATGTATCTGATAGGAACAATCCAGTAAATGACATCAGTTGTACATCTTAAAAACCTCTTTACTCTCCATCAGTCTTATTTATAATAAAAAAACACTCAGAGTAACAGCCCTTTTAAAGTATTAATTCTAATACTGCCTGTTAAAGAAAAGGGAAGTGTTTTAAAAGTATTCAAAACAATGTGCTCAAAAACCAGGATGCAGGCACACAGTGTGTACAGTATTTTTAATTTCTCAGGCTGAAGAACATGCCATTAAGCTGTGGAACTGGGCTGTTACGAAACATGTGGGCTCTGCAATCACTGAGGAGCAAAGAGCAAAAGGTAACAAACTCATTCTCTCCAGATGAAATTTTAAATCAGCGTTATAAAAAAGTACCAATGTACTCAGATTTGTGTTTCAATGTTTTATTGAGACCACAAATTAGCTGAATTTGCCAATCTTTTTCATAGCTGAATAGCCAGCATTGCTGTCTCAGTAATGTACTGTTGATGCATTGGTTCTAGGCTCCAGTGTAATTTACTCTCCTAATCTGTTTAATGCTTTAACGTTGCACATGTGGTCCTTTTCTGTTTAGATTAATTTAAAGCTTATTCTTTTCTTTAAAGTAATATTCAGGGTATCATGTTTTTAGACACATTACTGTTTTTCATTCACTGCTGTCTTTGGGTCCTGCTCTTTGTACAACATACGCTGCAGTACGTCATGTGGCTTGCAGACTGGCCTACGCGTATGAAACTAAAGACTTGTCAGAGGGAGCGATTCGCAGACAAATCCTGGTGAGTCCTTCCTCTTACCTGCAGACCTGTCGCATGCCAGACCTTGCTGGTCTGTCTAGTCTGTATTAGCATTGCTAGAACATACTATTCCTCCTGGGAGGAGCTAAGGTTGCTGCTGGAGGAGGTGTAAGTGGAAACAGTAGGGGGCGCTCATCCTGCAATCTGTGTGGGTCATGATGCCCTCGTATAGTAATGAGGACACTATACTGTAAAACGCCACTGTCCTTTGGATGAGATATAAAACCGAAGACCCAACTCTCTGTGGTCAGTAAAAATCAGAGGGCACACTTCGAAAAGACCCCGTTTCCTGGCCAAATTTCCCCCTGGCCTTTATCACGGCCTATAACCAACCATGGCCTCCTAATAATCCCCACCTCTGAACTGGCTTCATCACTCTGCTCTCCTCCCCACTGAGAGCTGGTGTCACTTCTGTCAGTGTCAGATGTCACATCATCCAGGTGGGGCTGCACACTGGTGATGGTGGAGGGGAGTCCCCATTACCTATAGACTGCTCTGAGTGGAGTGTCTAGAAAAGTGCTATATAAATGTAAGGAGTTACGGTAATTCTCTAGACAATTAAAAATAAGAAAAGAACCATTCAAAACATTTTTTAGTGAGTATATACTGTAGTTTATTTACTGTAGTTTATTCTCTGCTGCAGATGGCCATTAAAACTGGTAGAACATGGCTGGACAGCAGAAAGCCCACCCTTGCTGACACATTCTTCAGTCTGGCTGTCAAAGTAAGTCTGGTGTTCATTTCCATTGCTGTATGTGGAAATAAATAATACTAAATAATAATAATAAAAAAAATATAATAATAAACCAATAAATAATAATTGTGCAGAAATGTAGTAACTTGTATATATTAACAGAGGAGGAAGGGTGCTGTAATATTAGTTAGTAATTGTACTCAATATTTTCTCAGTGCGACAATCTGCAGAGTGTCAAGCTTTTGTTCATACCAGGAATTTTCAACAAGGCACAGAGTGGGCAGTTTTTAACCCAGGGCACCCATGAAAGAATTAAGCTAATAATTGATCTGCAGCATCTTCAGCATTTCACTTGTTGTAACAATAAAATGTGGCTTATAGGTTTTACGGTGATTGTGTCTTTTCTGAGCAATGATGCTTTAAGGTGTTTTCCATCCTTATGGTTTTGCTTGTGCTTTAGAGTCTGGAGGTTCTGTACAGCAGACTGACAGCCCGGGGTGACGCAAAGTCTGATCTAAACATTCCTAAAACAGATGTGGAGAAGGACCTTTTCCGGGTGCTCTCCTATCAAGCTGAATCTGTGTGTATTTGAGTTTCCAGTAGGCACTGTGTTCTCAGAGCTTAACTATAGAATGTAAACTTTCTTTTTAGTATACAGATTAAATGAATTCACCCTCATTTAAAATCACCATAACTGCAAGGGACGCTAGAGAACATTGATCATTAATCTTTACTACTGATGAGGTCAAATTAAATTTCATTACAGATTTAACTTCTGTGTGTTTCTCTTAGCACGCTGAGAAAGACCTTCGTATAGCAAGAAAACCACTTGGCTACTATCAGTTATTAGTAACTGCATGACACTGATTTATGCTTTCATGACGAATCTGTCTGCCTTGACTGTCAAGCACGACTAACCACTACCGTTGTAGAAAAGGAAAGTGCAGCACTGAAACCTAGTGGTAGGCCCCTAGCACTGCTGACTTTCATATTCTTCCCTTTTATACTTACCAGCATATCTAAAGCATAATCATCCTGTAATAGTGGCTTACCTTAACAGGCTGTTGCACAGGGCAGCAACCAGGAGGCAGTCTCCTGTATGCAGCGTTGCAGGGACATGCTGCACAGACTACCAAAGGAGGTACGATGTTCATCATGAATGGTTCTTTTCTTTGTGAAGTTCCTGATATTTCATTATATACAGTATATATAAATTATATATAATAGTCTTAATAAAATTCTGACGTTTGTATCTCCCTCCGAAACGGAACGTGTTTTAGATTTTTGTATTATTAAACATTAAATATTTCAGCTCTTAAAACTCTCTGTAATTTTCTTTAAACGTAGTTGTGTAGTGAATAATAACAGCATGATTTGGTCTTATCGATAACAACTGTGATCGTTAATTACCTTAATATTACAAAACTAAGTATATATTTTTTTTACCTGTTTTAGAGTGGGTATCTCTCCCTAATGTGCTATAATTTTGGTGTAGACACCTACAAGCTAAAAAAGTTTGAAGAAAGTTCTTTTTGGCTCAGGTAAGCTCTACTTTACTACTTTAAAGTGCTATTGAGAACATGCTTCTCTTTGCAGCCTATGATGCATGCTGATGCAGCTGCCTATTTGAACTCCTTCACTTTCTGTTCCACACCAGTAAAGTCTCAGTGCTAAATTTACCGAACAGTGGTAAACCAAAGTGATGTCTAATGCTGAGTTAGTGCAGTAGGTGTAAAGCATAGCCATCACAGTAGGGCTTTTCAGTGTGTTATACTGAATAACACACACTAAATAGAAAGCTATAGTAAATGCACTGTATTGCTTGTGTAATTACAAGGTTGCAATGACAGGATTTTGGTGGGCTGTTGAACTTTTTCAGCCAGAGTTACGACATAGGAAAGATGGATAGAAAATATTCCCCAGGGCCTGCAGTCCAGGTAAGGGAGTGCGGTGATGGGCTGGTGAACTTCAAAGCCACTTTTAACAGATAATGAAATTTCAGCAGGGCATATGATTCAATAAAGAGTACTTTGCTAGATGTATTGCTAGATATATTATATTTGCTAGACATAATTCATACTAGGCTGTTGTTTCTCAGTAGTTTTAATGATTACAATTTCTTCCTGTTTACAGCCAGGGTTTTTTTTTCCTTAGGCCAAAGTTTTGAGGCTCCTGGCTACTGTTTACTTCGAATGGGATTGTCAGCTGTACCAAGAAAAAGCTCTCAATGCAGTGACATTAGCAAACAAGGTAGATTAATCATTCTTGTCACCTCTTTATTCAAATAATTAGAGGGATTTTTAACTTGTGCAAAGTATTTAGTGCCTAATCCTTAAAAACATCAAATAAAAATATGGCACAGATCTGAGTGATTACTGCCATGAAGGTAAGTGTGTAGATCTTGGAGTCTGGACTCAATTCCACTCTAGGTCTGCACAGTTTGCACTGCCTAAGGTTCACTCTCAATTCACCAGGGGAAGCAGTTTCTCAAGTGCAGGGGCTGCACTCCAGTGATGGTTGAAGTGAGTGTAATGTACTTGGGGATTGTATTGGATGGAAAGCACCAATCAGCAATACAATGCAACGTGTAAGCAATACAATGCAATGTGTGATATTTTTAAATGAATATAGTCTGCGATTTTGTTGTAATCCACACTCAGTTTCGTTAACCTTCTATTTTTCAACATGGGATTTTAAATCGGCAGTAAAGCGCCTGTTTTGCCTCTATAGGAGAATGTGCATCCTGCTGGCCTTTATCTGCAAGTCCGGATTTTACTGAAGAGTGGCGCCCCTGATGAGCACCTGAAAGTGGGTGAGTCTTACACAGATCCACATCGAAAGCAGGCCTAGATTTATTCCCAGGCTAGGAGACTTTATTTCTGCTTGGTAGTGATTTGATGACAAGAAAACATCAAGAAAGGTGGACCTTACCTGTGAAGCGCTTTGTGTGGAGTGTCCAGAAAAGCGCTATATAAGTGTAAAGAAAGATTAATTATTATTAATCAATTTTTAAAAAGAATACATGTTTTTTATGAGGCTGGTGAAAGTTTTTTCTGCTTAAGGTGCTTTGTGTATCTGTGTGAACTGAACAGGAATGCCCGTGCTTCATATGGTTTTGTTTTTTACAGATTTTTACATTTATTGTTAATTTAACTTGAATGAGTAACTGTAAATTTGACCTACAGTCTTTTGATAGCAGTTCGGTAGCATTTGCAGTAAAATGTCAATTCGTTCACAGATCTTTGTCTTATTCTTCCTTCTGTGATCAGCAGTGACAGAGCTGATCGATGCTGATGTTCCTCTTGAGGTGTGTCTGAATACGGCAAAACTGTTAATGGCTGAAGACAGGTACGACTCTTTGACTTTTTGTTTTAGTAGGAAATTTCAAGCCAAAAACTTATAATGCACTTTCATCTATTTGCACGTATAAGGTGAATTTTCAAACACGTGTAGCTGAATTTACATATAGCATTATTGACATATATCTGAGTTGTTTTTCATGTGCGTACTCACTTCGTTATGCCATTATACATTACTTGTGTACTTCCTCCTGCTCATAGAGAGGCACTGGGTTTTGATTTCCTGAAGAGGGTATGTAAGCACCATGAGGCTTCTCCTGAGGTGGGCAGTGCCCTGGTTTTGCACATTGAGCTCTTGCTGCAGCGAGGGAAGGAGCTACTGGGGAAGCAGAAGATAGAGGATGTGATCACAGGTATCGTTTCATTGAAGGTTCCTAGGTGGGTGGGCGGCTGGGAAGGCTTGATAGAGAGATACTTTATTGATCCCGTGAGGGAAATTGCAGTGCAGCAGCAGCTTAGCCCAGTCAACACAGCACAGTGTAACAAAATTATACAACAACACAATACATACAAAATCGCCAGTACCGTCAGTGAGAAGTGCACCAAAAAAAAAAAGTTGCTCACAGTACAGAATATACAAAAAACAGAACAGTACACAAAAAGTTGTATTACACATTATAAATTTAAAAATATGTCCCTAGCATATACTGCACAAAAAATAACCAGATGTAAACGTGAACTTCCAAAACACATCTGTGTATATACAATGGAAAATCAGAATACCCCAACCCAGAAAGCAGGAAGGAGTGTTCCCAGTGTATTGTAACAGAGAATTATGCATGACGCTCCTGGCATGATGAATTCTTTCAGTAAAGGAAATGAGATCCTCAACATGCAGTGAAACATCAGTGATTATCAATAAGTTAAATACCCTGTGTATTTCTGTGTGCTCATCTCAGGCCATTACACTGGAAGACAGCTGTCCCCCCCTACACTTGATCATTTTCAGCTCCTGCTATGGGACAGGGCGTCCAAAAACTTTGAGGTACAATCTAGTTTGAAATGGAAACATGGAAAGTTAAGCTATTAGACAATGTGAGGAAGCAATAAAAACAAATAAAGTGCTCTAAAATGGTGGAGTAAAACGTATGGATTTTAAATCGGGGGAAGTTATGTCCGAGCTTTACAACACACTAGTGGAATATACTTATCTGGAATATAGATAAGAATAGAGGGTCACCACTGATACTTGAAAATGAATTTGATCGTGATCGAAAAAGGAAAAAAAACTTTTTTAACAGTTGTGGGTGTCTGGAACTGGCTTCCTTGCCAGGGAACTCTGTCTGAACTAATTTTATGATTCGTATATTTACCCAGCTACCAAATGTTGTTCTTAGGTAGTATATTATTAATTATTAAGTGCAAGTGTTTGAAAATGTTTAATATCTTATGCTAAATATAACATGTTTTAAAATTTGTGTATATCAATGGTCTTTTAATGATCGGCAGTCAAGGAACTATTCTGAGGCTTTGCAGTGGTATAACTACTCACTGAGTTTCTACTCTGCGGGTCAAATGGATTCAAACCTGGCCAAACTGCAGAGGAACCGGGCCTCCTGCTTTCTGCATCTCCAGCAGCTGGACAAGGTGCTGACGGGCTTCTCTGGGTTGTGGTACAGGTACAGGTTGTGGTTGTGCGAAACCTTTACCTTGTTTTCATAGCTTGTTTTTAAAAATCCATGCTGTCCACTCTCATCCACAAACATCTGAATTCTTTATGGCTATTGAAAAATTAAAATTAAATAATGCCGTTATATGTGTATTTAGATTCTTACAAATATATTTAAAGGTATATATGCTGCCATGAATATGCCATAAAGTTTCTTCATAAATGTGAAAGTATAACAACAGTTTTCTGTTTTCAATATGTTTTTTTTACTCTGTGTATGATCTCATCTTTGCCACTCGCTGCCCATATCATTGTTAAAAAAGAGGATAACATTTGTTTCTTTCCTTTTATAAGGCTAAGGAAGCACTAAAAGAAGCAGAGAGGTGTGAACCAGACAGTATTTTCACACAGTTCAGTGTGTACAAGATTGCAGTTTTAGAGAGCAATACAGACAAAGGTAGTGATATTAAATATTATATTATTATAATATTAATATAATATTATTATTCAGAACATTACATATTTGTTTATTATTATTCATCTGTTCAATGTCTTTTCTTATACATGTAAATCATTTTATTTTCTAGCATAATTTCACTCACCATAATACTCATCCATCTACTGGAAGCTGAATAGACTCTTATTTAATTAAATTCAGAGTTAATGGCTTATTTAGGTTTGTTGTCTACCCGTGTCTAGCAATAGAAGCTGTTAACGCAATGGGGAAACAGGCTGAAAATCCGGTTCGGAATGAAGACGGACTTCTGGTAGCTGAGAATGCTGCTTCCAACCTGCTTTGCCTGGCAGCACAGATGGCTCTTGAGGTGAGTTTTTATTCCGGTTAGGTGCTTTTACTGAAACCTGCGCAATTCTAAATGCGTGTGCTTTATGCAAGGTGTTTCATGGTGTCTCTGGTATTTTTTTCAGAAGGAACAACAAGATGTAGCTATGAAAGCCCTTGAATGTCTGTGTGAGCACCCACGAGACAGTGGACAGAACTTCACGGCTCTCAGGTAAAGAGACGGTCAGTCAGTCCGGACAGCAAGATAAAAGGCCCTTGTTCTAAAATGATTTGGATGTGCTTTGGTAGCTTGAGCAGATGGATAATTCATCAGACAGTTTGAGAACATTCTGTGCTTGTGTAAGTGAAGGAAGTGAGAAACACATGAATGTACCCATTATTGTTTACCTAAACTGCCCTGGATAAGAGCATTAGCTGACTGAGGAAATATTATAGCACTGAAATTTCCTGGGCCATGCTATACCCACTGAAACAAGACATGCACTCAAAGGGCACTTTAATTGGGCAAATACTCTTTCCTAAAAGCAGAAAGCTTGAAGTGAAGCTTGTCAGTTGCAAATATTTTTCCCTAAAAGCAGAAAGTAAATGAAGTCAGGCAATAACCTATTTTCCAACTGCCAAAGTTAAACGTTTTTCTATTGTTTTTTATTATTATTCTGACCATGCAGTAGCTTAATTAATGGACAATAAAGGTAGTAAAAGGGTAGGGCAAATCACAGTGTGTGGTCTTATTTTTTTACAGAGACACAATTAATGTAATTGAGTTATTTTTTATTTTTTTTCAGGTGTTTAGTTCGTCTGGTGCTTTCTAAAATGGGAACAACAAGTGAGGGGAAAAGGTATATAATGCTGGTGTAACTGATGGAAATGCAATCCTAGTTTCTGCTCATGAGAAAAAAAATATTCATGAAGGGCACAAACTGAGAGATTATTCAATAAGCCTATTTCGTCATGTATACATTTTGAAGCATCAGCCCAGATTGCTGGAAAGGAGCCAGTAAAGGTCAGTTCCTCACTGAAAAGCAAAAAGAAGAAGCACAGCACTCGTGATGCTGAGTTTGTTGCGTTCAGGTGCAAATACCTTCTTTACCCTCTTCACCACTCAAACCTGAAGAAGGCTCAAAAGTCAAAAGTTGCTTCTTCTTTCCACTTTTCAGTGTGGAATTAACCTTCCATTTTTCCTTTGTATGCTTTTTGTTTATAAACACATTGGCCATAATGTTTTCGGTATTATTATCACGTATTTTAATATTTTGAGTATTTGTTATTTTTAATTATTCTGGTTTTCACAGTGGTTTTAGTATTGATTTACTCTTCTTCTCATTAACAGGGATACTAATTTGGATAGATTGCAGTCTTATCTGAAGATGGGTGTGTAAAGAAATACAATATATTTCAAGTGAAATCAATTTATCATCTTAACTTACATGTGCTTTATCGTTGATGTCACGATTAAGAAGCTTTAACTGAATTCTTGTCACTTGTGACTTGTACTGTTTCTTCAGTTTTAAGTGCGTTTCCAGGATTTTAAATCGGTGACTTTTAATGTCCAAGTAGTTAAAATTCCAGTAGATATTAAAAAAAAAACAATAGGTTTTGGAAACATGGTATGAATCTGTCTCTCAACATTGTCTTGGAACCACAGCGCTGCAGAAAGTGTCTCAGGCCAACCCTGGCTCAAATCTGAGCTCAGAGAAAACAAGGGAAGCGGCAAACTGGTTCAGAAAAATAGGTAGGTTGGTTATTGAAAACAAACCATAAACAGACTATTTTTTTCATGTTATAAGAGATACAAAAGTGTAAACATTAGGTTGTGTGTTTATGTTTGCTTAAGATTTTGTAGCAGTATGAAAAGATTTATTTCCTACTACTGAAGCCCACGCCTGACCAGGTATTTTTCAATACTGAAAAGATACATGGTCTGTAAGTCTTTAGTTGTGACTGTATCAAAATAAAGTGGTTAAGAACATTGAAGGTATCTGAAATTCAGTGAAAATATTATGAGGGATGTTGATTTAAGAAGCTCTTGTGTGATAGTCTCCAGTTTTGTGGATTTTGTGGATATTAAAAATACCAGTTATTCATTTTCTGCCTTTTTTTTCACTGTTTTGTTTTCCTAGCTTGGAACGCAGCATTGCAGTGTGAAAACTATCCAGACAGGATGAGGGATTTCTTTGTGCTTTCATATCGGGCAAGTTTTTAGTAATTTTTCTATTTAATTGCCATAATGGACGTTTCAAAGGATAATAGAATAACGCTCGGTCTCGGGAACATCTGTTTTTGTTTTCTTTAATTTATTTTTCTCATCTTAAATAAGAACCACTTTGTGTTCCCCCATTACTTACTCTATAGCAGACTTGTTCGGGTGCCTCTTTACCTGCAACAGGGTCTCGTTATGGAACCGCAAACCATTTAATGAGTCAAACTAAATTCTAGTTGAGCCTTAGACAGACATTATTCTAGACTTGAAGGAGCTGCAGACTAGACAGCTTTCTAAGAAGATTTGCTTTTGCAGCTTTCCCAGTTCTGCCCTGCAGATAAAGCTATTCTCATCGGACAGAAGACCTGCCTCCTCATGGCAGCTGCAGCTTGCTTGGAACTAGGAAGAACACCGGAGTCCTCAGAACAGGTAGATCATGATATTGAAATCTTACTGATTGTGGTTCCCTCCATAAGATACTTCATTCTGTTGGATTATTTAGGAATAATATACAGTAGCTTCTAAGCATTTAGCGCTGATTAAAGGCAGTAGAGGCATGCCAGGACTTAAATATTTTCTGTGCAGGCAGAGAAGCTAACCCAGGCACTTGAGCACATAGACATCTGCTGGGAGGTCTGGAAAACACTGAAAGCTTCAGGTAGGCTTAATTTTCAAAGATGACTCAGTCAGAACAGCAAGCAAATGTAGTTGCACCTACATTTATTTTTCTGCAGGACATGACTGTGTGTTTGATTTTGGGTTAGGGGTCATCTCCAGATTAATCCCATAAACCTCCTGCTAATTTATTGAAGTGAAGCTTGTCAGTTACAAATACTTTTTCCTAAAAGCAGAAAGTAAATTAAGTCAGGCAATAACCTATTTTCCAACTAAACTTGCTTGTATTGTTTTTTATTATTATTTTGACCACGCAGTAGTTTAATTAATGGACTTGGAACACATTTGGAAACAGTAAAGTTTGTAAAAGGGTTTTAACACATTCACAGGGGACTTCTCCAAGGATCCCACTGACACCCTGCTGCTCCTGTATGAATTTGAAGCTCGAGCCAAACTCAGTGACCCCAATGTGGAGACTGTGTTGGAGTCTGTGCTGCAGCTGCCTCAGATTGAAGCAAAAACACTAGAAATCATTGCATGTAAGGAATTTTAAATGGGAAGACTGTCTGACTATTTTATTGAAAATACAGTATAGTCAAATATAGTAGAGTGAGCAGGGGTATCAGACCATTTTTATATTAATCTAGTGCTGGCAAAAGTAAACAACAACTGTCATTTGCAGTTGAAACAACATTTGAATGTTATTTTATATACTTATGCCTTGTTGTGGATTATTTTGTTATTTCTACTGAACAGCCTTGTGTAATCTGTATTGAATTAGCAGACTGTAAAACAAGAAAGGTCAACCCAGAGATCAAAAACTTGTTTATTGTTATTATCAATATCCAGTCATAGCTTCTAAAACACACGCACAAATCAAAGTATTCCTGGGTTAAACAGAGAAAAAAAACTGTATGACTCAGGACTGTCAGGGTAACCGAGGTTAAAAACATTTCCTAGATGAGAAACATTTCTTAGAGAGAAGCAGACTCTATAGGTACTATTTATATGTGTGCAGTTTAACCTGTTTGAAGAACTAACACTGAGGTATCGCCTGCTGTTTGTCCAGCCTTAGCAATGGAGCCTCCTGCTCACTTTCCCTCCCTGTGTAAAAAGGCCTTGAGGATTGCTCTGTCTCTGCACAAGAAGAGCCCCAGCTTGGATGTGTCACGCTGCAGGTAAATGACATGCCTAACCCTATTTCCGAGATGAGGGCAGTGAAGTTCAGAACACATTGTGCACCCTTTTTTGTTCACTTGATTGAGTGGAGAGGAGAGAGAGGGCTGAAAATGAAAGATTACACATTTCAGTATTTTGATCGACGTTTTGGTTTTGATTTAATTATTCCTTTCTGCTGTCACAAAGGAGAAAGGACACAAAGCAGGCTGCTAATTCATGTGTAATCTGTTGTGGATTCCATCCAGTGTAATCATATACAGGAAACCCTTGCTTTAATGGACTTCGGATTTAACAGTCAGAAAATGTGCTAAAGGGATATTTGCTATATTTCTGACACATGAAATATAGAGATTGTATATTTATGATTAGAAAAAGGAATGTGAACACACTTCATTGACTATGCTGATTGCAGTTGTTAAAAAAAATAAGTCGGAAGATCCAGGAAGCATGCACAGAATATAACAAGTAATAGGTTTATTCCCTGCTGAAAAGAGAAGAAAGGAAACACAACGTTTCGGCCGTGGAGCCTTCTTCAGGTGTCTTCTTCAAAGCTATCAGGTGTCACACCTGAAGAAGGCTCCACGGCCAAAACGTTCTCTTTTCTCCCTTCTCTTTTCAGCAGGGAATAAACCTATTACTTGTTCCTTTGCAGCCTACGGATGCTGACGCAGCCACCCACCTGAACTACACGCAATATATATTTTCTTCTCATAGAATAGCGTTTTTGAGCTAAAAAAAAACGTCATTTGTGATTTGATGAACATTTGGCGATTATGGACATCCCTTCCCCACTATTAGTCAATTAAACCGAGGGTTGACTGTGTTGTGAAAAGCCCACGTACGCAGCCTGAGAGGGGGGGATGTCAAATAACTGGCGGCCTGGTCTGTCTTGCAGCCAGTGTCTCCACAGCCTGATCCAGCTGTCTCTTCCTACCGGGCTGCTGGAAGTGGAACCGCGGCTGCTGGAGGAGGTGTGGGGGTACTACGAGGAGGCACTCTTCATCATCGGCGTTGCTGTAAGTCAGCCAAACAGCTGGTGGTTACAGCCCGCACTGACTGATGAGCCAACGAAGGGCACCGCGCTGCACAGCAACCCTCTCCCTGCCACCAGCCGGGCACTCCAACACCCACCACCCGATTGGCTTGTTTTATCAATGGATTTTATAAATAGGAGAGCAGCACGTTATCTTGCACACTTCTCTGTCAGTAGTCAAGCAGTCTTTTATTTGTTTGCAACAATTTACCACTTACCCTTTACAGCTTTCAATGTACTGGTATATTAGGCAAGGAAAAATAATAAAGCTCTGAGAGTCCAAGGCCCAGTAGTGGCCTCCCTGCCAGGCAGCAAGTCTTTTGGGGGACACAAACCACGTTTTGAGGTTTAGTCCTTAGGAATTTCCTTCAGAGGACAACTTGAGTATTTTATCGATATGGTGCATAAAAGCATATGTGCTTATAAGATTTAATAGGGTCCTATAAAGGAAGGTAGCTAACCTTCCATGAAAATGATTCCCAATTGATTTTAGATTCTTTATTAGGGATGAATATAAATCTTCAAGCATAAGCAACACTCTCTCCGTCATGTCTTCCCAAATCAACTTTACTGTCTAATCAAAAGCCTGACTAAACATTGCTTTTGGCAGCAGGGGGAATTTCCTGAAGTGGAGATCTTGTGGCTTTTGACCAGAGCCTGGAACACGGGGATTCTGCTGTACAGTCTAGGCCAGTTCCCAGAGGCAGAGAAGTGGTGTGGCCTGGGCATGAGCTTCCTTCGACACCTGGGCTCCCTGCAGGAAAGCTACCAGACACAGGTGAGAGTCTTAAAGCACAGCATGTGTCCTCTACCACTTAGGTCAGTGACTCGTGTGTCTTGTCCTTGACAGCAGACATCTAACTCGCAGCACTGTACCCGCTCTGTGCTTAAATTATTTTGTGTTCCACATATTTTCAGGTTTTAAAAATGTTCTTTTTAGAACATAAACCAACACAGCCATGTTTTCTGTGACTATACACCAGCAGAGTAGTAATATGTTACAGTATAATACATGGCTTCCTGATTTTGTGTTTACTGTGAATAACTAAAGTTGAAGACGTCATGAGCTGATAGGCCCTGAAAAACTTTTTTTTTTCACGTATAGATCATATATGAATATCATAATAACACAGGCCCCCGTGTATAAAGCGGAGTACTTAAAGTAAGGCAGCCACTTTCACATTTTTGTTTCCACTGGATGGAGTGATGATAAATGGGCAATTCTTTGATTGGATTTTGTTTCCCTAGATGTCGGGTCTTTATGCAGAAGTGCTGGACAGGCTGGATAGAGTGAAGAGAAATGTTATTGATGATGAATGAGAAAGCATTTACATCACAGAAGAATGTGTCGCCGGTGATGGTGGTCAGTGCGTCCTTCAGGCGGGTGGATCTGCTGTTCAGCTGCTCTCCTGTTGTTCCATCACGCTGGGGGTCTGTCCGCTTTGGGATTTTCCAGAATAGCTGTAGGCACCACCCTAGTTTTAAGTTTCCATGTTAAAACAAGATGCGTTTGAATGTGTTAAATATATAAGAATACTTTAAATATCAGAAAAGGAGTGCTTTAAAACATTGGTGTAAATCCTCATAGCTATTCAATTTCAAGGTGTTTGTGCTAGTCTCACCACCTCGAAAACATCTGCTAATCTTAAAGGATAAAATTTTGTAAAATGCTTGTCTGTTCTACAACGGTGTTGATAGAGAAAGCCGTGCCTTATACTGTTAATAAAACAGGTTTATCATTAGTGTGGGGGCTGAACAGTGAAAATGACATTTAGTAGAAAATATTCCACTAGATGGCAGAAGAGTGTTGATATGGATAGCAAGATAGCACTGGTATTGTCATTAACCTCTGGGTGTATGCATACAAACATACATTTATACAATGCCTTATGCTGTGTAGGCAGGAGGGGGCCACACCGACATGCTGTAGCACCTCATGGTACCTTTCAATGATGTCATGGGCATTGCTGTTTAACAATACTCTCTCATTCTGGTAACCGATTTTGTTTTCAGATTTCTCCATTAAAATTCAAATCACCAGCTGTTCTCACTGAAAAGATAGGAAATATACTTCCTGGTGTCTTGATGGCTGCACAACTATAATTTGTGATTGCTCATTCAAATTCAAATACATATTCATACCCAAAAGATTAATTTCTAATATCCTTATTTCCCAGATACTGGCGAAGGACTTAAACCTTTCTGCCACATTACCCTTCTGTGAATTTTAATTGTGAATATATACATTTCCGCCAATGCTTAAAAGGACAAATTGTATGTAGGCTTAGTATCAATCCTGTATATATATCCAGTCTTTGTGTTAAGGTAATGTTAGTTTTTCAAAAATTTCACATACAGTTACATTTACATTAGTGAGTAATGAACCTCATTTATCAACATCGGACGACGTGATTGTGTTAAAGTGCGACTGTGTTCACATGATAGAAATATTGAATGTTGAGTTAAAGAAAATCATCGTATAGGAGATAAGCAATGTGTTTTACTTGAGCTGTAATTAAAAATCATTTATGCAACAATTTATAATATCCCATAAAAACAGAAAATACAATTCCTTGCATTTATATAGCAATGTGCATCCTGAAGGATCCCAATATGCTTTATATGTAGGAAGGGACTCCCTTCATCCTCTGTGCAGCCCCAAAACAAAGCAGATCAGGTGAAGTGAGAAATAGACTTGCCCTTAGAATTAAGAGGGAGACTTGAGTAATTCAGATTGTTTACATCTTTGCTGCAGTTCTTTCAGGATCACCAAAGTAAACCCCTACTCTGCTCTACAGGGCCATACTCAATTCAGAGGCATTAAAAACACAAATGAGTATTATAACCAACAGCACAGAGTTTTACAGCCTCACAGTATATACCCATACACACAGTACCCATTACTACTTAGCTGTAAACATTCTCAAGAACTGCAAATGGCTTAAGTAGACACTATTTAATACTTTTTTAAACTGGTGTTTGACTAGTGATGTATTCAGACAAAGCCCCAAAAAGGCTTTAAACTAAAAAACTTTTTTAGTTAATACAAAGAAAGAGACTTCCTCACATACAGAGGTTTAGCAGAATGTATTCCATGAAGGAAAAGTATCAAGTGACATTATACTTTCTACAGATGAGGCGCATTTAGTACCAATTTCCAAAAAATATAAAAAGCAATTAGTAAATATAATGGAATATGTATTGCTCCTATTTTCATCTTATTTTTACTTTTGTGATTGCTAAGCATCATACGTGGGTGTACAACTGTCCTCAAGGTTGGTACAAATTACCATCAGTGTGAAATTACAGTGGAGCAGTGCACTGTGGACTGCATCCTAGTTTATTATTTATGAGCTTTGTGTAGATTACTAAAAAAGTAAAATTTTGAACAGAGTTCAAAGCAGCGCTCCTACCACTTTTCCATGAAAGAACCTTAATGAATCCAGCAATCAAGACCCAGCCAGTTCTTTTCACTTGAAGAAACATCTGGCTTCACTCCTTTAAAAACGTATGAGCTTTTTATTCCTTATGATGAAGGAAACTTGACTGATCTTGAACATGACAAGAGTTCTTGGCACAAGGAAATTGAAACAATAACCAATATAGTCACATTTTATTTTTTAAACTTTCTTTTTGTTTGTCCATTCAAAAAAAAACCTTCCTTCCTGGCCAGCAGACTGTTAGCATGATAACCATGAAAAGAGGTGCTTGTTTCACCTGTACCCAGTGAACGAATGGTCCCATCACTTGATGTAACAGGGTAATGTAGAGTACAATCAAGGAATGATATTTAGCAAGCAGTTACTGGACAAGTATAGCGTCAAGTCAGCCATACACTCTCAAAATCCAAAATGAGAGAAATGAAAGACAAAGCTAGGTTTCTTAGAACCAAAGACTGACACCTCACAAAATAAACACAAAGGCAGTAGATTCAATATCGGAGCACAATGCCCTCAAAAGGATATTCTTTGGGCTTTATTGACGAAGCTGACTGTAAAATAGATACCAGACAGTATTAACAGTCAGCTGTTTTTAAAGTTCATACTGGAGATGAAATTTTTTTCTAGATATCTAAATGGGATATATATTCCTTCCTAAAGAAATGACAACCTGTAGTTCAGATAATAACTGCACTACATATTAAAGACCAGCACCCAAACAAATTCTACCAAGTAACAAGCAGACAGGCCAGATCTAGGGGAATTCAAGTTCCTTCAGGCCAGAAGCTGTGTTACTGGATGTGGCTTGGGTTAGTGTCTGTAGAAATTACCAACAGTACAGCTAATGGTATATGATAGTCCTTCATAAACTAAGCTTTACTCACCTGTCGTTTGTGTTCTATAGAATATCCAGCCATTCCGGTTCTCTCACATGCAATGAAGCACACATCAGGAATGCTCTTTGCTCGAGATATTTATAGCTACAATAACCTTTGAAACAGTCTGTAAGCAGTTTATAATGGCTCTGTTCCCTTGCAATAATTCCCTGAACTCTGTTAACATAAGTTACAGCTGGTTTTGCAGAGGTGGCTGGGAGGTTGACACGACTGTTCAGAAATTGCCTGCAGATAAAAGAGCTGGGGGGGTCTAAACACCCAGCATGTCTACTGCTCCTGAAGATGGGAATGAAGTGAGCTCACCTTAGTGTCTAATTCCGGGACAACAGTAAGAAACTAGCCCATCCTTTTCACCAGAAAAGCTAGTGTGATAAGGGGGACATCTTTGTTCTTCAAGACAGAAACCTCTCCTTCCATGTACAGAAACAAGTATCAGTGCTGAAATCATCAGAGGTGTTCTGTGATGACCCAGTGACAACATGAAAAGAGCTCCAGCAAAAACAGTCCCCGCCCACTTGGTATCGAGTCGAATCTTTCCTGCATGGGTAACGCCAATGTCTCAAATCCCGCAGAAATGTCCTGGTTTCTCCCCGTTAACTGGTGCTTCTTGAGCAAGAAACAGGAAGCCCATTCTGGGTAACCATAACAGAGCATCCATTACACCCCCTCCTTGCACTGAGTGTTTCTGGAAGTTGTATCCAAACAAGTATCCCTAGTCAGTGGATGGACAGGTTTCTGTAAGCAATTTTCCTGAGCTGACCAATCTAACACCCGGCAAGCAGCCTTACACAGTGGATAAAAAAAAACTGCTGGTAACCAAAAAGATTGCCTGGAACACAAACAAATGGGAAGCTTTTCTTATCGCAAGGCAAAGCAGGAGGGGTTTAGGGACAGGGGTCCTGACAAAGTCCCTTAACCTTTTAATTACTGTGAAATGAAAGAAAACTCAACAATCAATATTTTACTGTTTTTCTACCCGTTTTCACGCTGCCATCAAAAGCAGCTCACAGGAAAGTACCGCCTCACCATTCTGTTAATAATAATCAACTTTTGAAGGCAGAGAACGTGTGAATGGGCAGTCTGCATCTCATTGTAGACACTGGTGGTCTTCATCAGTGAAAGAAAAAAGCTAGAATAGCACACTGCAACGTCAATCACATCTTATCTCCTGTGCGAGGCGCGAGGTCTACCCTGGAGCAGCTGCTCAGATCAGGGTAAGACGGCACCACATCTAAGACAACGGCTTGAAACCTCCATCAAGAGCAACAAAGATGTATAGCCCACCATTCCCAGAATTAGGTTTTACAGCTGATGCTTTATTTTTGTTATGTAAGGCAGTTTGGTATTTTGCAGGGATCCCAGTTACACGTCTCTACCTCCTTCCTTTAAATCGAGAGCAGCTTAAAAAAAGACGAATCCTAATAAAATCAGACAGCCCTCCATGCAGAATTTTCATGATGTGTAAAACAGTGTAGTTTTAATATTTAGTAAAATCTCTCCATAGGAATTGATCCTTTATCTTGCCGTTCAATAATATAAATTTATAGATTCATATCCAATTTTTTTCCTTTCTTCCCACCTCCTGAGATGAGAGATCCTGGCTGGCTGTACCACAAACTGCTGGCAGCCAATCGCACAGCGAGCTGGTTTGCGATAACCGTGATCAGCAGTCTGTACTTTTTTATCACCACTTTAAATTAGAAACAATGGAAAAAATTCCTTGAATAGAACAGTACCATGAAAGGTGGGGGGCTGATTCTCAACTAGTCCTTATAGAAAAACCTCATTGGTCTTTTCAGCTCACCTCCCAAGTCTTTAATGCACGTTTATAAACATTTTACAAATTGTTCCAGCTTTGCACTCTATTTTTTCCCCTGCAGCTTCTCCAAATCCCTCTCCTCACAAGCGCTTTTTGTAAGACATCTTCTGGTGTCCCTCCATAGACGAGAATTGATTTTTTTCTCCTTTTTGTCTTTTAAATGATTAAAATTCATTTGGAATGACATTTTCCAGTCTTCGATGGAATTGCAGAAAAACTCATGCAAGGATGCGCACAGTCACAGTAATGGTGATAAAGACCTTTTTTTTTTAAGAGCAACAGAATGATGACAATAAAACTCGATATGCAACATATCTGTAAAAAGGGAGGGATCAGACTTCGTAGGGGGAGGACTGACTCCGCTTGGAAGCAGGGGAAACAGAGAAGGTGCTCAGAGTTTCTCCGAGGAAGGGATCCATATGTAGGGTCCGGACTGTTCCTCAATGATAAGTTTGATTTTGCTGTAGATTTCTTCTAGCGAGTCTCCCTGTACAATGGCTGTTGGCAAACAGAGGTAAAAATAGAACTCAGGTGACTCTATAAATAATTCATCTTCACTTTATCACACGGTACAGTGAGTGAGGAAATCATGTCGCAACTCTAAACCTGATTAATACTTCCCACTCCCACCTTCATGCGAGGGCATTCAAATGACCTCGATCAAAAGAGAAAACTGCAGCTCAACAAGAGCCGACTACTACACGGTTCAGGAAAAACACAAAAAAGAGATATGCAAAGAGGGGAAAATGGCGACAGCTTCCATCAGGACCTAGAAAGACATTTCTATTGCACTATTCCCATTAGGCAGGAACCTGTGCATGAAAAGGTCACTACAACCTTGACCGATTTAGAAAGTGTCATCTCGCTTTCAGCGCAAAAGCTAGCTGCTGTTCAATGAACGAACGACAAAAAGTTATTCATCTAAAACTAGTAAACTACATATACAGTTTATCCTATTATATAGTATTTTACGCATTGAGTGTGTGACAGTTTAACACTTGGCATCTTAATATGCAGGTCTAGGCTGAGACAGGAATGTGGTTTTCCAGTTCTGAGCTTTTGATTTAGCAAAGGCATCAGTATTTGGACTTGTGTAACCGTTTCCTAGGAAAGAGATCCTTACCTGTAAAGTACTCCCCAAACTCCTGTTCCAGCTTCATCGCCTTGTCAAAGACTTTATTGGCTTGTTCATATGTCTGCCTCTTATTCATTTCCCTATTGGACAAAGATTAATACAGCTTAGAGCACTGACTGTTTATTGGACAATTCACAATCAAACAGTTTGTAATAGATGTATTAAATAAATATCAATATTTGTTTTACTTAGTGTGGAAATGCAGGTTGAATCTTTCAACTCTACATCCTTAAGTGCTGTATGTATATTAAGTTTGTTCAACTGCATATTGGACTCTCACTTACATAAGGGCTTCAATTGATTTTGGCTTGATGAAAATGGCAATTGGATAAAGTTGTGCTTGCTGCAATCGCTTTATAGCATTCCCAGAGACATCCAGGATACAGTGCTTCCCCTGTGAAGAGAAACGCGGAGGTGAAGGGGTCACAGAGCAATTCAGCAGATGACACACTCCACTTAACTTTCTGTGTGGTCCTTCCAACATGTGGATTTTATCGCAATATTTTCTTTAACATTTACATCTCACAGAGTGAGCCTTTTTATTATTGGGGTTATTTCCCGACCGTTTTTTAGGAGTTTGAGTCTTCAGAGTAACTTACTTAACAGGCACTCTAAGCACAAGCCCTTACACAGCGCACGTCAGTCGTCTTGACAGACGCTGTAGTTTTCAAGTCACAGAGACCATTGGGAAATCCTTTCCGATCAATGTTCGGCAATGCTACTATTCATTAAACATATTTCCCCCAGAAGCAGGCGGTCCCCGGCAGACCACGACTGATTAATGTTTATTTCCACTGTTTCGTGTACCAGTGCTGGTCAAGACACGTCCCCAAGGCCGACGGCCCCAGCCTACCCTCTCTGCGACGGCTCTCACGGACTGGATACTCGTGCCATACAGGTTCTCGTTGAACTGCCCGGCCTCGATGAACTTGTTGTCCTGAATGTCCCTCTCCATTTGCTCCCTGGACATGACGAAGTGGTAGTCCTGCCCATCCACCTCATTCTCCCGCCGGGCTCGAGTGGTGTCTGGAACGAGACGGGGACTCAGGGCAGGAGGACGTGACGGCGGCCGCGGGTATTGGACAAACGGGGCTCTTTCGGCGGGACAGACATCCCCAAGCGTTACTTTTTAAGAGAAGAAAGAGGAACTGAGAGAAAAATAAAAAAGGGACAGCGTGGGTTGTACCCCAGCCGGCTTCCTAAAACCCTTCCCAGCCAGGGAGACCTGGCGTGTACTCACGGGGTACGCAGGATCCGAACTTGTGGGGGAACTCGGAGATCAGGTCGTCATTTACTCTGTCCTTCATGGGTCCCAGGATTATCACAGGTCTGGTGTAGTGAACTACAGACACACAGCAGCCACCCATCAGCTTTTGTTTTCGCAAAATAATCTCCAAGCACATAGAGGCATTTCAAAAGAGATCCAGGATCCTAAACTGGCTAGAGAATGTGCCTTCTTTATCTTACAAGAACCGGAAGGAGAGAGAAGAGGAAAACGCCACTCACTTTCCTGTCGCATCACCGGCTCGTACGACAGGATTGCATCTTCCTGCCCCTCTGAAATGCGAGAGAAAATAACACCCCCGTCAGAGGATAACAACTCGGACCGCACATCAGTTACAAGCATCAGCTCCACTCCACTCACCCAAAACACCTTTAGAAGTTAAAGATAAGGCAGATCTTTTTCCATTTGCCTTAAATGTTAATAGTGAAAACCAGTGAAAGATTTGCCTTCAAGTCCACCGTTGCTCTGCAGAGTTCCTGCACAAACCTCCCACCTCACCCGCTGCCCAGAGTCAGCGCCACCAGGGATGTGGAATAAGCCTGGATTCTACACTACTGTGAATAATAAAAGTCTCCTTTTGCGACTGATTGTTTTCAAGGCATCACTGAGCCATACAGCAGTGTTCAAGGATAGCTACTTACTGGAGCTGCTCTCACTGTCGCTTGTGTTGGACGTCAAACATTCTAAGGGAGGGGAAAAAATTGAAATTAACGCTTTACGGAGCGACTAGATGGCACAGCTGATCCAAAATGTATTCCAGTCTAGGGAACATCTCTTTGTGCGGGAGATCCTTAATGACGAAGAGATGTAAATCCAAACCAAACCCCCCCCAAAACAACGAAAAAGAAACCCAAACAATGCTTCACCTAGAGTGAACATGCTGGGACAGGGGTACTGGTCCTGGAGGCCCACACGCCTGCTGGGTTTGGTTCCAGCCGAGCTCCCAGTTACACAACTGAACCCCTCGTCGACTTCTCTTCAACATGCTGGGGGCTGCCCTAGAACTACTGCATTCCATATGGGACAGAATTCCAAGCTTCCGGGTAGATAAAAACTTGCAAATGTTCCACACAAGCAATATTAGCTTATTAGCTTAATTAAGCCTTCAATTAAATAATTAAGCTCAGCGGGACTGAAAGCCAGCAGGTTTGTGGCCCTCCAGGACGAGAACTGGAAAGCCCGATGCTAGAGAACACCGGTGAAGGCAGGTGAAGTATTTCTTAATGCCAGTAACAGGAAGCTGTTTCCTCTGACTGCGCTCCTGTTGATCTTAGCCTCAGCTGTAGGAGGGCCTGTTTCAGAGCTAAGCAAAAGCCAAAGGAAACTTTTTTCCCCCCCTAAAAAGCAACCCACAGATCACCTGACGTGATCAGTATGACGTGGGTGATTTAAGGACGGATGGGAAGAACAGCTCTCATGACATGCGTCTTGGCATGTGGCCCTGACCGATGGCCCCAACGTCTGAGTGCAGAGGAGAGCTGCAGGAGAAACCCCACACTTACTCAGACTCTTTGATCCATAATAGTCATCGCTTAAGCCTGGGAAGTCCTGATTATCCAGACAACGAGAGCAGAGAAGGGGGCAGAGGAGGGAAACAAAAAGAAGAAAGCAGACAGAAAAAGAGGAGGTTAGTGAGAGCTGTGAGCTGAAGAAAGGCTGAAGGATGTGTGCAGAGCTCTCAGGAATGACAAACCCAGGCACTGTGCCCTGAACTGTACAGGCTTCTCAAGGCAACAGGCCAGTAAGGGAAGCCTGGCGCTCGAGTCAGACTGTACTGGAGGTGGCAGTGATCACTGGTGGCCACACGTATGGGATGACCTGTTCTCGAGTCACTGGACTCTTAATGGGCTTCAGGGAATGAGGCCTGAAACAGGTGTAAGAGGCACTTTTCCACATGATCCAAGCTGGCTCTCCGGTGCTCTGGCACCTGGAGAAACGACAATTTCAGATCAGCCACTTGGAACGTCGCCGGTGTTTATAACACGAATACTGGACTCCAATGTCGGCATACAGGGGAAGGTGCCCAAGAAAGGGTGGCAGGAGCAGGAGCTGGCACGGTGCCCGGGTGTTAGTCACTTCCCACCTTCTGCACATACACCCGACGTCAGCCCCAGAAGTGACCGACATCTGCTTTCACCCCAGTGCGTCGAGTGGTTTTTTTTTTTTAGAGTCCAATTTTGTTGCACATGAGCACAACAAAAAACAGAAGGCTGGTTTCAATTCGCCTCCCGACACGAAAGCAGCCTGACATGTCGGCCACCTCTGGGCGTGAGCGTGAGGCGCCACTACACTACACGATGCAGCTCCCCAGGCGCCCTGCAGCTGCAGAGAGGAGGAAGCGTGAGAGTGCAGAGCAGCCCCTGCAGCCGCTACCACACTGGTACTTACGTTCGGGCTCCACATTCTCCTGCACAATATTCTCCTTGCTCTTGTAAAACGGGAACTTGCGCGAGAGGTTGAAGCTCTTTTTGCGCTTTACTTTGACCGACTGTGGAGAAAACACGCAGATGGAGGACGGGGGTGGGGTGGGGGATGGGATGGAACACAAGAGAACAGAATGGGTTTCAATGCAACGCACGAAAAGATTGTGTGCACACAAAAAAAACCATGGCAATGAAATAAATGCACATCGGGGGGTGGGGGGGGAAAGGAAGTTCAAATGAATGAAACAAAACCATGATCAGCATGAAAGAGGTATACATGCAAACTCTCCATTTTACAACCCAAACACCGAACGTCTGTACACGAAACAATCGGAGCCAAGGCTGCACACTTCTATTCCCAAGGTCCGAGCGCTGGGCTGCATGAGGCGGGCTTTTTAAGCCAACGCGAAGAAGGATTTGAAAGTCAGAGAGGGCCTCAGACCCCTCTAAAGCGTGGCCTTCCCCTCTCTTTCCTGAGAGCTGGCACATAGCCCGGCTGTCTGGGAAAACAGAGGGACAGGCGCGAGGGCTTGAAGTGTGACCCCCCTCCCCCCCCCAGGCCGACACGAGATCCCGGAGCCTCCTCGTCCTCCTCGCCCCCCGGCACTCACCCTGTTCGACTCGATCATGCCGGTCCTGGCGTGGAACTTCACCGTCTTTAACCTCGCCCGCTCCTTCTTCTCAACCCTGACGCACCAAGGACAAGGCCGTGAGTCTCCGTGGGATGGCCAGAGCCCCCCCCACACCCCCCCCGCACGCCGCGCAGAGGGACAGCACAGGCCTGCCCCTGACCGGTGCCCTCTCGGGACGGAGCCAGCCCTGCGGAGCTCGACCCCAGCCTCTGTCCTGAGCACAGGCCCGGCCCTGAACCTTCCCCCACGATCGCTTTTACTGGCTGACAGTACTGAAGAGCTGCACTGCTCTGCGCAGGAGACCTCAACGGAGGCAAAAACATGCACTAAAGTTCATTTGGGCTTAACTGGTCTAGATTAACTCAAATAAGCCATTAGAGGCTGTAAAAACTAGGGACAAGGAGAGTAAATTACTGTGCTACATCTTTACACCTAGCATAATAATATAACGCACAAAGTGTTAACCTCTAGCCCAAGCCTAATGCCAACAATTCCAGCCTCTGGTCAGCAGGAGGGAAATGGAGTTCTACTCTACCACAGCAGCACTGTGGGCGCAATGGCCAGGCCCCTCTCCGGGCGGCGTACCTCTTTTTGCCGGGGATAACCCCAATCTGCTCGCTCTCCCCGTGGGGTGTGACGAGCCGCGCCTGCCACCACTCATCGTCCGAGGCGTTGATGACGTGCAGGATGTCCCCGTAGGAGAAGCTCAGGCCCTGACTGGGCAGGCAGCTGTCACGGGTCCGGTCATAGTCAAACAG